CCCCAAAACCCCAAAACCCCAAAACCCCAAAACCCCAAAACCCCTTCAAAACATAATCATATTGAAAATTTATGTGCGTCTTCAGGAACACCTGAACATTACTCTATAGAAGTCTCACTTCATAGCTCAAGAAGGTTACTAGTGTCAGCCTGAGGTTTCCTGGGGTTAGGGTGGGCCTCAGACTCTGCCTTTTCGGTCTTTTCAAGCATTTTTCTAGTCATTTTTCAGAGGTTTATTTGGAGATAGTGCATTTCTTCGATGTTCTTCTCAGCCTTATTTCCGGAAAGAATGCTGTTTGTATACATTTGGGTGAAGGGGTCGTCAAAGTTAGAATATTCTTCAGAGATAACAGCGGTAGTGTCGTATTTTATTGGTACAGTAGAGTTGTCCTTCAACAATTGCTTCTTTAATCTATGCTCATTAGGGTGTATATTCCCTAGCAAAGAGTGAGAAGTAGCTTCTTTCTTTCCTCTTGAGAAATCTTCAGCACCCCGCTCTTTTCTCTTGCCTACTTCAGTGGACATCAGACCTGGAGGGATTTTTCCGAACATCTCTGTATTTACCTTAATTTTATTACTCCATTCTCCAGAGTTATTCAAGACTTCTCTAGAGTCATTATATTGCAACTGAGAATATCTCATTTTCTTGCTAATATTTCCAGGATTGAGAATTCTTACTTTTTGCTCGAGGATGTTGTTAGTCTGATCATTAATAATTTTACCCAACTTCGATGAAGACATTAGTTGGCCTTTTCTGCCCTTAAAACTAGCAGAGGAGTTGCTATGCATGTCTCTATTTCCAAGCCTTGGATTCGAGTTGGCTCTCATCTTACTGTTTCTGACCTTACTAGAAGGTTTATCTGTAATCCTCATGTTTCTGGCAGGCTTGGTACTCTCGCTCTGTCTCATCCGCATCATGCGCATACTACTATCCATAAGCTTAGTCTGATCTTGATAATTTGGGTTCTTAATAAAGCTACTGCTTCCATTCAGAATTTTACCAACTTTAAATCTATTAGCAGAATACTCAGGAGAGTCACCCATCTGAAGGAATTTCGGATGATTAGAGTTGCTAATCCTTCGAGTATTTGTTACTATTTTATCAGCTCTCCTTGCAATTTTTTGACGGCTTTTTCTAACAAGCAGATCTCTTTTATTTCTCAAAGAAGGTCGCTGCTGACTCAGGTCTCTTTGCTTACCTTTGAGTCCTGAAATATTGTTGTTCTTACTAGATGCTTTTTTCAAGCTTTCAATATACCCTGCTATTTCCTTAGCTTTTACTTTATTTCTGATTATTATGAGGGTAATATCTTGACTGGAGGTCTAAACTGGTTAGTAAATAAAGCCAAAAGAGCCCTACCTTTTTTTCTTCTGGACAGATTTAGCTCACGGTTCTTACTAGAATTGAGGCTAGACCTATTGCTGAAGACCATTGACATTATGAATTGTAATAATTTCTCATTTAAACTTATAAAAAAGGGGTTTTGGGGTTTTGGGGTTTTGGGG